GGAAGGACAGAGAAAAGGAAAGAGGGTGAGAGAGACAGAGGCAGAAAGAGTGGTCAAAAATGAACTTACTGAACAGAAAAGAGGGAAAACTGAGCTTTCAGAGAGCACTGACTATTTGAAGTTTCCCTCAATGCTGAAAAAGAACATCACATTAAAGGAAAATGATAGCTACATTTGTAGCCTGTGCCAGTGAGAACTGAGAAGGAAATGAGAAACATATCATGGGAAACTGGAGAAGAGTAGATGCTTGTTATATGATGGCAGAAAGCTTAGCAAAATTGTGTGCTACAGTTATTTGAAAAGCAGAATAAGTGACAAGCCTGGATATATATCTAAGGAGATATCCAAGCAAAGAGTTAATACCTGATTTCTTCTTGCTGCTTATAGTAAAATGTGAGAGGAGAGAGAAAAATTGAGTTAAGAATTGTTAAACAAAAGGGAGCCAGGGCTTCTTGACTTCTGGCAGTGTGAAGAGCTTGGCATACACTCTCCCCAGCAAAACAACCATTTAACTGGTGAAAATTATAAATTCTCAAGAAGTTGTCATAAAGACATACAGCAAATTAAGAAGTATTTATTCAAAATATGCTAAATCTCAAGAAACCAAAAATCAAATCCACTGCCATCAAGCTGATTCCAACTCATAGCGACCCTACAGGACAGAGTAGAACTGCCCCATAGTTTCCAAAGCTGTAATCTTTACAGAAGCAGACTGTCACATCTTTCTCCCATGGACAGGCTGGTGGGTTTGAACCACTGACTTTTGGTTAGCAGCTGAGCACTTAACCACTGCACGAACAGGGCTCCTAAATCTCAATAAGGACAGCAAAAGTTGGGGCATTTGAGCCACAAAGTACTCTCAGCCCTCTGCCCAGCTCCGTGTGATGAAATCTCTACTCCAGGCACTCTATGCTGGTCAGTACAGCCAAGAAAACAGGGGCTTTGGTTCCTCCTAGTTCACAATCTAGAGTCACAGTTTCACCTCAAGTGGGGCATGAGTCATCATTTCTCATCCTCCCAAACCCCATGTTGGGTGGACATAGACAAGAGGTCTGGGGTTTGCTTCCCCCACCCAGTCCCCACTAGTACAGCAAAATGCCTTCCCCAGAGGGAACAACCTGAGAATACTGTTGCCCCAATCACACTCCCCACAATCCACTCATAGTGCAGAGATTCCATGCTAGGAGTGGCAGGCCAAGAAGACCAGAGACTACTATTTCTCACCCAGTGCCCACTCATACAGCAGGCGCGTCATTCCAAGAGAATCAGGGCACTGCCCCAGCCCCCAGATCTGTGCAGTGGTTCAGGGGTTCTGCCAAGGGCAGAAGTAAAGGATGGAGAGTCCCACAGCTCTGTCTGAGGGAACTAACTTTATTTGGAACAGAGCGTGGAGAAATGTATGCCTAGGGGTGTTTTCAAAAGCATAAAGATGTTGGTAGAGTGCAATTAAGAGGGGATGGCAGCTCCATGATAGTCAGCAAAAAGTGACATAGCAGAGCAGCCAGAAGTTAAACAGAGAGAATCAGAAAAAAATAATAAAGACAATCAGAAACAGCCCTTCTGGGAACACATTCAAATCTGTAGGTCAGATAGTCTTAGGGGACCATCTATGTCAACTGGTATAACATAGTTCATAAAGAAAACATTCTACACGCTACTTTGGTGAGTAGCATCTGGGTCTTAAAAGCTTGTGCGGGGCTATCTAAGATACAACTATTGGTCTCTTTCTGTCTGGAACAAAGGAAAGTGAAGAAAACCAAAGACTCAAGGAAACAATTAGTCCAAAGGACTAATGGACCACAAGGACCACAGCCTCCACCAGCCTAAGACCAGAAGAAATACATGGTGCCCAGCTACCACTACTGACCGCTCTGACCAGGATCACAATACAAAGTCCTTGTTAGAGGGCAAAAAAAAAAAAAAAAAAATGTAGAACAAAATTCAAATTCATAAAAAAAAGACAAGATTTATTGGTCTGAGAGATACTTGAGGAATCCCCGAGACTACAGCCCTTAAACACCCTTCTAACTGGGAACTGAAGCCATTCCCAGAGATCACCTTTCAGTCAAATAATAGATAGGTCTATAAATAAATAGTAACAAACTTGAGGAAAGTGCTCCTTTGAACAATCATCTATAAGACCAAAAGGACAACATATGCCCAAAAGCAAAGATGAGAAGGAAGAAGGAGCAGGAAAACTGGGCAAATGGAAATGAGGAACTTGGGGTGGTAATGGGGAGAGTACTGACACACTCCAGGGATTGCAACCAATGCCATGGAACAATTTGTGTATAAACAAACTATTGAATGGGAAACTAATTTGCTCTGTAAACCTTCATCTAAAATACAATAAAAAAAAATCTGTGGGTCAGGAAGGCTATAAGCATGCACTGGGCTTCACTCATGGAGGAACAATCAAAGAAGGAAGTGAGGAAGACTCAAAAGCATTCCCCAATCCACACACAGACTCATCAATAGAGGGCAAAAAATGTCACTGGCACAAGGAGCTTAAGTACAACTTCTGACCAAACACTGACTAAACGATAAATTTCTCTGACCAATGTCTGCCAAGTGAGTTCCCTGGTAACTTAGAAGAAAGAGAATAAAAAATGAGTCAGCTTACTAATGCCAAAATGGACATTGAAACTACAGTGCTATACAAAATTATTTTTCCCATCAACATGATGAAAATCATGTTTGACAGAAATCTCTAAAACCCCATGAGGAATGACTGCTGTTCAAGATGCTTTTATACTTCCCTGTGTCTCTCACACAAAATTTATCAATGAACAATATAAACTTGCGTTGTAAATAAGAATATCAAATAAATCAACCAATGTCAAAGTCTGATAAAGAATTATGAAAAAAAGAATGTTAGAGTAAGCTCAAAGTAACTATTGACAAGAGCTGAATATCTAATCTACTGTTTATTGAAAGTAGGTGATGTATGACTGTAACTTTAATTCCAAAAATACAGAGCTGAAAATCCACTACACCTTTGTAACCAGTTCTTGGCTACCTTCACATTACCAGGTAATTTTCTGCTCAGTAATAAAATTAGCTCAGTATTTATGAATTGATTTATGGCTCTCGATTTCTCCTTCCCACCCCAAAAAATATAAAAATCACTTTAGAGAAAATTAACATCTTTGAATTTTTTACTATGCCAGTCATTTAACTTGGTATAGGCCTCCATTTTTTAAAGTCTTCTTTAATATTTCTCAATATTTTATAATTCTCTACGGGGAGGACTTGTACTTCACCATTAGACTCATTTCAAAATGTTTTGTATTTTATGCTAATGTAATGGTATATTTAAATTTTCTGTTGCTAGTATATAAAATTAGTTTTTAAAAAATATTAAAATTGTATAAAGCAACAAACTCTTTATAGTTAATACTTAATCAGCATTTTTATATCCAATTCTGTCATCTGAAAGTAATATCCATTTTACTTTCTCCTTCCCAATATTTATGCTTGTTATTTTTCTTTTCTTTGCATCAATGCACTAGCTAGCTCTACTATAATGCTGAATAAAAGTGGTGAAGTGTTACACTAGTAAGTGTTAGGTATGAGGTGGAATTCTTATAGAAACCAACTATCAGATCAATGAAGTTCTCCAGGGCTGTCACAGTGGAAGGGAATAATAGAAGGCCTGTGAGAAGGTAGAAACTTTGAATCTTTGTTACAATTACATAACTTCAGTATCTATTACTAGACAGAACTTCCTCTTCACAAAATTTCTGTGGTCCCAACATGACGATCCCTTGTCCTTCTCATGCCTTCATAAGGGGCAGTTGTACCATCTTCTGTCAGAAACTTTCAGAGTAGTTGCTCCACCTAGAAATGTGTCTCTAGGCCTTCTTTCCCAGGTAGATGGCCAATTTGTATCTGTCAATGTTCTCTGCTCACTGTTGCCAATGACACCAAGGAATTTGCCCACACAGAGTCCCACGTTGCTGTCAGGTGTGCCTTCTCCCCTACACAAGTTTTTACACAGAGGGGCCCTGGCTCTTCAGAATACACAGTTCATCCAGGCAGGAAGGGTATCAAGTGAGCAGGAAATGTGAAGGAATCAAGCAGGAACTATGGCCAGACACCATGTTTACCCACACAGATGCCCTCATCCTTGCCAGTGTGCTCTCCTACAGGGCACCTCCAACAGAGGTGCTCATCTGAAGCTGCTCATGGAGGAATAAATGGACCCATAGGGAAGAGGGCAAAAGAATTTCAGAGACATCAGGTCTTCAAATCCATGGCAGGCATAACTTCCCACTCCAAATATTTTCCTCTGCAAGGGTCCTTGGTTCTCAGGAAAAACAACTGGGGATGCAGGACAGGGATCAGCAGGAGCTGAAGAGACATTAGACAAGGCCTTTATGTGCAAGGACCATAATTTATATAAGTGTATGTAAAATAAAATAAAAAGTAAAAGAAGCCACATTAAAATGACAAGAATAAAGCCACCAGGGTTAAACACAGTAAAACAGCAATCAAAACAGAGTATCTGGAGTGCAAAGCAAGTTCAGATGGGCTTTTACACATTAGTCTTAGCATCCTGTTGCAGGAGAATAGAAAGGAAAGATAAAAAGAACTACTGTTAATTGAAAATGTGCTCTATATTGTACTTTTATTTACAAGTAAGAAAAAAATATCCAGATGGGTAAAGTGGTTTGCTTGAAGTCAACCTGTTAGTGATTGAACCAGGATTGAAACCTAAGACCATCCAGCTTCAGTACCAAAGTATTTCCACCAAATCAAGCTCTCAGTGGGGCAAAGTAAAGGGGAGACCTAGTCAAGAAGGACCAATTTCAAGATGTGGGTCATTCCAGAGATACAGGTCAACTTGTATGCTTGAGATGAGAAAATACATACAGATAACCTATACTGAATCTGGAGCCCTGCTGGTGCAGTGGTTAAACACTCAGCTGTTAACCAAAAGGACAGTGGTTCAAACCCACCAGCCACTCTGCGGGAGAAAGATATGGCAGTCTGCTTCTGTAAAGATTACAGCCTTGAAAGCCCTATGGGGCAGTTCTACTCTGTCCTGGAGGTCACTATGAGTTGAAACTGACTTGACGGCAATGTGTTTTTTACTGAATCTGATCAACTCATCTTTCCATCTTTCTACCAGAAGAATTTTACAAGTAACTTTAGGGTTCATACAAAAGTCCCCTTCCTAGAGTGTAGTTTCTAGGAATTGGTGCTTTTCTATTCAAAATTTCTTCATGTACTTTATAGGGAATTACTGTATGGCCATAATTATGCTAGGCAAATAGTAATGTCAAATATTATGATTATATGGTATGATCAGGAATATGTAACTTGACAATACTCTGTATATATAATTTGTTCTGCTGTGGTGCTGATAATTCAGTTCATAATTTTAAAAAAGTTTTACCTGCCATGATGAAAATGTCCTTCATTTATATAATTATTTTCCATCATCTTTGCTGAAAAACTTAAGTATCACCACACTAGAAACATGACTTCTGTTGCAGAATTTTATCTATTGAGGTTTTTGCCCCAAACTCATGAATTTCATCAGTTTTCTAATATTTATTAAAGCTTGAGCTAATACTGAAGGCTTTTCTGTGTTCAGTTCATTCTTATAGCTTTTATACTGTATGAATTCTCTGATGTACAGTAAGTTGTGACTTCTGTATGAAGGCTTTCCCACATACAGTACATTGATAGGGTCTTTCCCCAGTATGAATTCTGCGATGCAAAACAAGGTCTGACTTCTGAGAAAATGCCTTTCCACATTCAGCACATATGTAAGGTTTTTCTCCTGTATGAATTCGCTGATGCCCTGGGAGGTGGGACTTCTGAGAGAAGGCTTTCCCACATTCAGTACACACATAAGGCTTTTCTCCTGTGTGAATTCTCTGATGTCCAATGAGATGTGACTTCTGACAAAAGGCTTTTCCACATTCACTGCATTTATAGGGTTTCTCTCCAGTATGCGTTCTCTGATGTATAATGAGCTGTGACTTCCGGGAGAAGCTCTTGCCACATTCAGTACATTCATAGGGTTTCTCTCCAGTATGAATTAACTGGTGTGTAATGAGTTCTGTCTTCCTGCTAAAGGCTTCTTCACATTGAGCACATCTGTAGGGTTTCTCTCCAGTGTGAATTCTCTTATGTATAATGAGATGGGACTTCTCACAGAAGGCTTTCCCACATTCAGTGCACTCATATGGCTTCTCTCCTGTATGTGCTCTATGATGTATAATAAGTTGTGACTTCTGGGAGAAAGCTTTCCCACACTCTCTACATTCATAAGGTTTCTCTCCAGTGTGAATTCTCTGATGTATAATGAGGGGTGATTTCTGGGAGAAAGCTTTCCCACATTCACTACATTCATATGGTTTTTCCCCAGTATGAACTCTCTGATGTATAATGAGGGATGATTTCTGAGAGAAGGCTTTTCCACATTCAGAACATTCATAAGGTTTCTCCCCAGTATGAGTTCTCTGATGTACAATGAGGTGAAATTTCTCACTAAAGGCTTTTCCACATGCACCACAATCATATGGCTTCTTTCCAGTATGAATTCTTTGATGTACAATGAGCTGTGACTTCTTAGCAAAGGCTTTTCCACATGTAATACATAAACAGGTTTTCTCTTTAGTTTCAACACCTGCATGCTGAATAAAAGATTGTTTATTGCTGAGAATGTGTCCACCTTGATTATCTTCACAGGGTATTACTCCATTGTGAATTTTCTCAAGTTTAGAAATGGATGCACTGTGGCTGGGTGATTTTCTGCATCCAAAACTCTCATCAGGGTTTTTTCTTGAATTGCTTTTATTACAACTAGGTAGGTCAATATCAGGTTTCAAGTTCTTTTCAAATGCATATTTATGGAATCTTTGTCTTGAAGTAGCTGGATCTATGCATTCTTGAAAGAGTTTTCCAAATGCATCAGACTTGTAGCCTGACTCCTCAGTCACTGTTTTCCTGTTGATAACTGTGACTTGCCTGAAAAGTTTGTCTTGGTTTTCCTGACATCTCTGCAGCTGGCCATCACCTTGACAGACTTCTAAAATGGAGTACAATGGACCATCCTTTGTGACTCCTTTTAGTATCTTATTATGGAAGGAAACAGTCCCCAAAATACATGGCTGGGGGGTTTCAAGACTACTCTTCCTGTCTAAAAGAAGGAAAGATAAAATCAAACAGTCATAAGGAATAGTTAACAGGATGCAGAAGAAGTAGAACAAATGGATGATCCAAAGTAGTCGATGAACTCAGAAAACAGGAATGGAGACAAGCATTCTTAGAAGAATATAGGATGATCAGGTGAACAGATAGACAAGGATTCTAAAAATAAATATTTGTGTAAAAACTACAACTGAAGAAGATAGAAAAGCATCTGGGTTCTTATCACTCTAATCTTGGATTTCTCTTTTAGGATCTTCCCATTTCCTTACTTCCTAATTAGAAACTTTTACCTTTTGAACTCATTTATCTTATAAACATTTGCTATGCATACCTAACTACTGTCTAAAGAAACACTATCTAAAGAAAGGTCAGCACTGTCCTCAAAACACTTTAACTCTCCTTAGTCTACTTTCTTAAGTAACAAAAAAGAAAAAAAAAAACAGAAAAATCCAAGGTATGGCAAGTGAATTCAGTATCCATACTCACACCTTAAAACCAAACTTGAACCCCACTACTCCCCATAACTACCTTCTATACATCTCAAGTAAAACTAGCATAGTTCTCCCAGAAAAAGCCATACTTATTCCTAACTCCAAGGTTTTGTTCATATACTCTCTCCCACAACAGCTCACCATCACCTTCTCTGGCCTAATCAATACTTAAATGTATCTTTCAGAATAGTTATAGCTGCAGGCTCTTGCCTCTATTGGCTTTAAGTCCCTTTCATAAAAAGCATTAAAAATATACATGTTAAAAGACTCAATCAGAAATATCTCTCCCCTGAAAGGCTCACAATTACTTGACATATTACTTGTTGAATGCTTACTAAATGCTCAGCACAAGAGAAGAATAAGAGATTTCAATATGGGTAGAAACATAAGCCTCAGGAATCAATCAATTAAAAAAACAAACAAACTGATATTGCACTTCCCTTGTCTCCCATCTGCCTGATTTTCATCTGGATAAATCCAATTTGATATGTCTTTCTTTATGATCCATGGATCTTCTCCTTGTTCCAACTTGGAGATGACATCTGGTTTGGAAACTGGATACCCTATTAAATGGAAATCACAGAGGAATTGGGATTGACTGCACTCAAAGAAGAAGTGAAGGTGCAGTTTCAGGAGGTCCACAATGAAGCAGTTCAGATGGGCCTCAGAAAAGTAATGACTTCCATTTGCAAAAGGAGGAAAGGCACAAAAGTCATTATGTATGTGAGGGAACCGCCTAATGTCAGCAATTGATAAAGGAAAGGCATTTGCCCAGACAATACTGAGTTATGCAGGAAAACCATCCTTACCCATTGAGACCAGGTGGCTGTAGTTCTCCAGCATCACATCCCTGTACAGGGTCCTCTGAGCAGGATCCAGTTGCTGCCATTCCTCCTGGGTGAAATCCACAGCCACATCCTTGAATGATACTAACCCCTGTAACAGTATATTCCTGTTCAATCTGAAGTAATCATACTCATCATTTCTACTATAGGATGCAAAACTATACTGTTAAGGACCGAATTGTTTCCCTCAAAAAGATATGTTGAAGCCCTAACCCCTAGTACCTGTGAACATGACCTTGTTTTGGAAATATGGCCTTTGAAGATTTTATCAGTTAACATGAGGTCATACTGGAGTAGGGTGGACCCTAACCCAATCTGAGTGTTGTCCTTAAGCAGTGAGATTAATTACTTTTGTGTATGGCCTTTCTAGCCATGGTCTTCTAACTTCCACCCAGGTGACTGGGCGGGATTGTGTGATGGGTGATTGGGGTCCATCAAGGGGATTGGTCAGTTTTGCCTTAAAAGAGACCAATTCCAGAGCAGAGAGGAGGATCCCACCACCAGCAAGGAAGGAGAGATCAGCAGGAGAGACCCAGCAGCAGAGACCCAGCAGGAGACAGTGCAGTGGGCTTCCCAGCCCATGGGGAGAGAAAGCTGAGTGCCTTTGGGCAGAGACTGAGGGCCAAGGAGAGGCGTGACTGTGAGCACAGCTGGGGAGAGACTATCCTGATGGAAGAATTGTATCCTGAGTGTTCTTCAGCCTGAATTGTAACTGTTACTTCCCTAATAAACCCCATAACTGTGAGTATGGTCTGTGAGTTGTGTGTGGCCATTGCAATGAATTATCAAACTCAGTAGAGAGTGTCGTGGGAGAGACAGTTGGTGTAAGAGTTGGTAGAGATGGTGGAGAGAGGAGGCATGTCTGACCTCCACCTCACAGGAATTAGCCTTGGGCTTGGTTCTCCTTACCTCTTGTAAAGTTAGAGGAGGTCAGACACCACCCTCAAGCTGTTTTTACACCTTATAAAGAAAGAGAACAGACACAGAAAAACGTACAAGGTAAAGACAACCATGTGAAGATACATCTACAAGTGAAGGAATGCTAAGAAACACTTGAGGTTACCAGAGCTGAAAGAGACAAGGAAGGATCTTCCCCTAGATCAGACAAAGAGAGCACCACCTTGTCAAATGCCCTGAATTTGGACTCCTAGCCTCCAGAACTGTGAGACAATAAGTTTCTGTTATTTAAAGTCACCCCCAGTTGTCGTATTTTGTCACAGCAATCCTAGAAAATGAATACAGATTCCTATACCTAGCTTTGAATCATAGTTTTCAGGAGAAAATATGTAAAATCCTGTCTTTAGCAAGAAGAGCCAGACAAATCAGGACAACAGAAGAGGTAAACCATAAGGAGGCCTACTTAAATACAAATAGAGATTTAATAAATGATAAAGATGGTATTTAAATAAATGGGAGGAAGACGGATTATTCAATGAATAGCACTGAAACTGAACAGTCAATAGGAAATGAATAACATTGGAGCTGTACTCTACCTTGGAAAATAGAATAAACTCTAGAGCGGCAAAAATTTTAACTCTAAAATAATACTAGAAACCATAAAAATAACTAAAAAAAAAAAGGGAGAATTCTTATTTATACAGTGGAGAAGGCCTTTTTAAGTACAACATAAAAAAGAGAGTGAGAGAAAAGCCACATTTAGAGAATTATAAAATATCAGACAGAATCTTGAAGATCATTAGTCTAATCCCGTCATTTTACAGGGGGGAAAAAAACACCTTAGCTTCTCCTAAATCTAATAACTCTTCTAGATGCTAGCAATAGCTAGTTATAAGATATAATGAAATGCCCCAATCACAATAGCAACAAAAAAATTTTAAAAACTGAGACGTTAACATGCAGGAAACATTCCTGAAGAAAACCTCAACAAATTACTGAAGTCGCATTAAAATAAGGAGTTGGGTAAGTGTAGAGCCAAAAAATATTTAATTCCTTGACTATCGTAATTATGTTACCATTATGTTCACTAAGGTTGTCACACAATAATGTAATCTGAGTGATGAGTATTATTTTAAATAACAGTAGCTAAAACAAATGGAAGAAATGATCACGTAAAAGAGCTGAAGAGGAGATTTCAAAGGGCAACTCGAGAAGACAAAGTAAAGTATTATAATGAAATGTGCAAAGACCTGCAGTTAGAAAGCCAAAAGGGAAGGGCATGCTTTGCATTTGTCAAGCTGAAATAACTGAAGAAAAAACACAAGCCACGAGTTGCAATACCGAAGGATTCTATGGGCAAAATATTGAATGATGCAAGAAGCATCAAAAGAAGATGGAAGGAATACACAGTCACTGTACTAAAAAGAACTGGTCGACATTCAACCATTTCAGGAGGTAGCAAATGATCAAGAACCAATGGTACTGAAGGAAGAAGTCCAAGCTGCACTAAAGGCACTGGTGAAAAACAGGGCTCTAGGAATTGATGAAATACCAACTGAGATGTTTCAACAAATGGATGCAATGCTGTGCTCACTTGTCTATGCCAAGAAACTTGGAAGACAGCTACCTGGTCAGCCCACTGGAAGAGATTCACATTTGTGCCCATTCCAAAGAAAGGTGATCCAACAGAATGTGGAAATTTTCAAACAATATCATTAATATACCATACACAAGTAAAGTTTTGCTGCCGAGAATTCAAAAATGGTTGCGCAGTACCTTGACAGGGACCTGCCAGAAATTCAAGCCGGATTCAGAAGAGGACATGGAATGAGGGATATCATTGCTGATGTTAGATGGATCATGGCTGAAAGGAGAGAATACCAGAAAGATGTTTAACTGTGTTTTATGGACTATGCAAAGGCATTTGACTGTGTGGATCATAGCAAACTATGAATAACATTGCAAAGTGTGGGAATTCCAGAACCCTTAATTGTGCTCATGAAGAACCTGTACATAGACCAAGAGGTAGGCATTCATACAGAACAAGAGGATGTTGACTAGTTTAAAATTAGAAAAGGTGTGCATCAGGATTGCATCCTTTCACCACACTTATTCAATCTGTATGCTAAGCAAAATGCAAGAAGCTGGACTATATGAAGAAGAATGTGGCATTAGGACTGGAGGAAGACTCATTAACAACCTGCAATATGAAAATGACACAACCTTGATCACTGAAAGTGAAGAGGACTTGAAGCACTTACTGATGAAGATAAGACTACAGCCTTCAGTATGGATTACACCTCAACATAAAGAAAACAAAAATCCTCACGACTGGACCAATAAGCAACATCACGATAAATGGAGAAAATACTGAAGTTGTAAAGAATTTCATTTTACTTGGATACACAATCAATGCCCATGGAAGCAGCAGTCAAGAAATCAAACGACATAGTGCACTGGGCAAATCTGTTGCAAAAGACCTCTTTAAAGTGTTAAAAAGCAAAGATGTCACTTTGACGACTAACGTGTGCCTCATCCAAGCCATGGTATTTTCAGTTGCCTCATACGCATGCAAAAGCTGGACAATGAATAAAGAAGACTGAAGAACTGATGCCTTTGAATTATAGTATTAGTGAAGAATATTGACTGTACTGTGGACTGCCAGAAGAAAGAACAAATTTGTCTTGGAAGAAGTACAGCCACAATGCTTCTCAGAAGCAAGGATGGCGAGATGTGGTCTCATGTACTTTGGACATGTTATCAGGAGAGACCAGTACCTGGAAAAGGACATCATGTTTGGCAGAGGGTCAGTGAAAAAAAGGAAGACTATCAACGGGTTGGAGTGACACACTGGTTACAAGAATGCACTCAAACATAGCAGTGACTGTGAGAATGGCGCAGGACCAGGTAGTGTTTCATTCTGTTGTATATAGGGCCACTGTGAGTCAGAACCGACTCAATGGCACCTAACAACAACACATTTTCCCTAATCCTAATGTTTAGCTTTCTGCAAATGATTATATGGAAAACCAGTACAAAATAAGCAAGTAACTCACCTGAGACTTCGTCATTTTCTGCTTCTCTTCCAAAAGGGCAGAGGCCTGAGGAATCAGAGCTGGGAGATAGAATGGAGTCTTTAGAGGCCAGAATTGACCTGCAGCTTCCACATTCACCAGTCTAGAAACAACCACCACCAGATGTCAGGTGGATAAACAGGCCACTTTGTAGGAGAAGTTCTTTTGGGTTTTCCAGAAGGATCAGCCAGCACCATGTGAAGTAGACATTAATCTTTAATCCTCTTGTGACTATAAGATGAGCACAATGAGCACAGAGAACCTGGACAATTTTTTCTTTTTAACTACATGGATATGAAAGTGTTTCTTGTTGACTTACTAACAATTGATTGTTGTCCCCCAGAACCAGCATTTCTATTTGTAGAGTTATCATAAGGTGATAATTATAGATCTATATGGATATACTATAAAAATTTAACTGCAGATAGAGCAGTTCCCTGAAAATAAGAATGGGAATGAACAGATGGAAAACTGAGGAATGCACTTCCTCATTCCCCAAAGAGAACCAGCAGCTGAACACAAATAATCAAGCAAGAGTCCTTATTTTTACCCCCAACTCAGCAAAGTCTCCTGCCAAAGCAATATTCAGGTACTAAAATGTTGATTTTTAAGATGTTTCCTGTTTAAATTTTTATGGCTGATTTTCAACAGTGCAGTTGTCTGAATACAAAAGTGGTGATAGTTTGGAACCAAGGATAGTAGAGACTACATCACAATGCAGGAAGGTACTTACTTAGTAAATTCTTCTCAGTCCCAGGACAGGTTATGCAGACAGGACTGAACTTGTTCAGAAAAAGTAAGACAGGGATACTCTTTCATACAGGATGTCCCAGACTCTATCAAAACAGACCTGCAGGGAAGCAATCAAGAGAAATAGTCATGCTGGTCTCTGAACACCCAGAAGAGCTCAATAAATGCTTCTTAAGTAAAATATAAAATGATTTCAACAAACTTAGGAAGAGCCAGGACTGAAATCATACTTTTCATAATAATCCTATCCTTTTAGATTTGCTTGGTCCTGTTTTAAAATGATGGACATTTCTGTGAGGATAAGGGGATGACTTAGGGCCAGTGGTAGATTAAGAAAACACCTGAGAAGGGGCTTGACCTATAAGAACAGTTGCCTGTGCTAGTAAACTGGCTGAGTCGGAAACACTGGAAGGCACACAACAACAACCATCAGACACTTGCCACAATATTTACCCCACCAAATCCCTGAATACTCCACAGAACTACCCACCATCACATCACTGACCACGCGGACACTCCATTCTTTAGGCCATAGCCTCTCCACCGATCACTGATTCCCCAAAGAGCCCCACCAGATCACTGACTCCAGTCATCCCTACAACACAATTCAGGTACACGTCATTTCTGACCCCACAGACGCCCCATTACTGACTCAGCATTCCCCAACTACTAATCACATAGCTCCTTGACCACCGAATAAACCCAACACTAATTCCATCGACCTCCTCCTCCCATGACTTCTTCATAAACCTCCCACTACTGACGCTCGTGGACCCCTCATCCCCCACTGCAATCTCACATACTCACCTATCACTCACCACACATACTTCCCTTCTGACCCGCAGCTCCGTTATCAGGTCCCAAAACGTCCATCTCGGCTTAACCTGGGATCGCTGTCACATCCATACTGGTAAACTCTCCCGGTTCCTGTCGGTAAGCAAAGCGCACTGCCCCGAGCCTGAGCGGTTCAGTACTGGGCGGTTTGACCGTTCCGCAACTTCACCGGCTTTGTTCAGGGGGCAATATGGCTGCTCCTACGTACTGTTTCTATATGGGAGCCGCCATCTTGAGAGTACAGTCAATTCCGTACAAGCTAAAGAATATTATTTTTCCGGGCCAGGAAATCGGGCTGTACCACTGCAGCAGCGAAGGGAGGGGGGAAGGAGATGACGGAAAGGCGGATTGGTTACAAACGAGGAAGTTGGAAACTTTTGCAGAGAGATTTTAAAGAGGAATGGAAGAAGATGGAGTGGTACCGTCCTCTACTGGAGACTACAGTTGGTGAAACAGGAAGAATTTGGAATGGTACAATCCTTCGTAGGCTATTCCACTTAAAAGTGGTTTGTAACTATAACTGTATACCGGGAAACTCAACAAGCCCTCTCCTTGGATATTCCACCCACTATGAGAAAACCAAAAGGAAAAAGAAAAAATTGTGCCCTCAAGTCTTTGCAGACTCATGGAGAGAGGGCCAAATGTGATGGAAGAGTTCACTGGGGGGCTGAGAGAAGGGAAAAGCAATAATAGATAGCTGCCTTCCAGTCAACTCCGACTCATGGTGACCTTAAGTACAACAGTAAGAATGTTGCCCAGTCTGCATCATCCTCAGTCATAGGTCATCCTCACAAATGATGGGCCTGTTTAGGTCTATCATTTTGGCTTTTGTGTTAATCTATCACACTGTTTCCCTTACCCTCCCTGGCCCTTTACTTCATCAATGTGATTTCCTCCTTCACTGATTGATCCCTGCTGATGATGTGTCCAAAACAAGCAAGTGGGACAATGCTCTGTTGTGATCCATAAGATTTTCACTGGCTAATTTTCAGAAGTAGATTACCAGGCCTTTCTTCCCACTCTTTCTTAGTCTGGAAGCTCTGCTGAAACCTGTCAACCATGGGTGAACCTGCTGGTATTTGAAATACTGGTGGCACAGCTTCCACGATCATAGCAACACACAAATGAAGACAAGCTGACAGATGGGTGGTGGTAAGCAATAATAATAAACTTTAATTATGCTGATGATTATTATAAGGAATCCTCCTAGGGAAAATTACAACTGCAGTAATAAGTTGTAGGGGCCTACTGGAGAAGAAGAATGAAACTGTAGAGGCAGGGAAGAGGAAACTGAGAAACAGAGAGAGGGACAATCAGGGGCAGAGAATCAGATAAAGCAGGGATACTGAGGAGCAAAGAAGAGGTTATACAGGCAGAGAGATGGGAGACTGAAGGGCAAAAACTGAGAGACACAGGAAGAGAAGTAGGAAAGTAAGGAACAGAGCATGGGTGACAGACAGAGGGAGACTGAGAGACAAAGAAAGGAAGACTGAAAAACAGAAAGAAAAAAAAACAGGTAGACAAAGGGAGAGACTGAGGAGGTTAGATTACAGAGGGGTAAAAAATCACTTGATTTAAAAAAAAAGAACAAACAGAATACTGTTACTGCAAAAAGGGAATAGTAAAATTGCTATTTTAATCTTTAGATCTTGCATCAAGTTTTGATATTTGTTTAAAATGCATGCTAACAAGCTGGTATTTCATGTGCATAAATGGCTAAAATTTTGAATCATAATTGTCATTTTGGCAGTCATTTTTTGCTTAAGTAATTACATAAGCATCAATTTTATATTTGGCAATTGGATATCTCACCTCAATTTAATCTTATACAATTACACCAATATTTATTGCATACCTTGTACTTAAGATGGTGTAGCCGCGATGATAGGCACAAAGGGTATATTGTTAGTTGTGACTGAATTGGCTCCAACTCATGGGGACTTATATATAATGGAACGAAATGTTACCCAGTTCTGTACCATCTTCATGATCATTGATATGTTTCAGTCCACTGTCATGGCTACTGTGTCAATCCATCTCATTAAGGGTTTCCTTCGTTTTCTCTGAGCCTATACTTTACCGAACATGATGTCCTTTTCTAACGATTGGCCTTTCCTGATGATGTGTCCAAACTAATTAAGTCTAAGTCTCGCCATTCTTGCTTCTAAGGAACATTCTGGTTGTATTTCTTCTAAAAGACTGATTTGTTTGGCAGTCCATGGTATATTCAATATTCTTCACTAACATCACAGTTCAAATGCATGAATTCTTCTATCTTCCTTTTTCCCTGTCCAACTTACACATACACGTGAGGCGACTGACAAAGCTATGGCCTGGGTCTGACCCACTTTAATCATCAAAGTGATATTTTTGCTTTTTTAAACTATAAAGAGGTATTTTGCAGCAAATTTACCAACTGCAATGTGTCATTTGATTTCTTGACTGCTGCTTCCATGGGTGTTGACCATTGATCTAAGTAGAATGAAATAGATGGCAACCTCAATTTTTCTCCATTTATCATGATGTTGTTTATCAGTCCAGTCATGAGGATTTTCTTTTTCTTCACGTTCAGGTGTAATCCGTACTGAAGGTTGTACTCGTTGACCTTCATCAGTAAGTGCTTCAAGTCATCTTCATTTTTGGCCAGCAAGATTGTATCATCTGCATCTCTCAGGTTGTTAATAAGTCTTCCTTCAATCTTGCTACCAAGTTCTTCTCCATATAGTTTGGCTTCAAGGATTATTTGTTCAGCATACAAATTGAATAAGTAAGATGAAAGGATACAGCCCTGCTGTATCCCCTTGACCCACACAGTATCCCCTTGTTCTGTTTGAACAATATACAGCTTCCATATGAGCATAATTAAGTGTTCTGGAATTCCCATTCTTGTTAATTTTATCCATACAATTATCCATACAAGTTAATGCCTAAACTGACAGATAGGTGGTGGACTAAGGGTGCGTTTTTGTTGTTGTTGTTAGTTGCCATCGAGTTGATTCCAACTCATGACAACCCCATGTGTTACAGGGAAGAACTGCTCCATAGTTTCTTGACTGTAATCTTAATGGAAGCAGATCACCAGGGCTTTTCTTCTGAGTTATTGCTAGGTGTGTTGGAACTGCCAATCTTTAGGTTAACAGTTGAGCACAAAAAATTTGCGCCACCTAGGGACCTTGGACTAAGGGTATAAAAAAAGCAAAAAACCCATTGCCATTGAGTTGATTCCGACTCATAGCGACCCTATAGGACAGAGTAGAACTGCCCCATAGGGTTTCCAAGGAGCAGCTGGTGAATCTGAACCACCGACTTTTTATCAGCCGAGCTCTTAACCACTGTGCCACCAGGGCACGGACTAAAGGTATAACCAAAAAAACAAACTCATTGTGATCGATTGGATTCTGACTCATAGCAACCCTGTAAGACACAGTAGAACTGCCCCAAAGGGTTTCCAAGGAGCAGCTGGTAGATTCGAACTGCTGACCTTTTGGTTAGCAGCTAATGCTTAACCACTGTGCCACGAGGGCTCCCCACCAGGGCTAGTAGTGATTAATTCACAATCCTTAGCCTCAAGGAGTGATACCAGTGAAGATGGGAGAGATGGGAAAGGGCAAGGCCATGGAGAGCCTTGTAGGAATTGCTAAAACTTTTAGCTCTTAATCCTAAAAGTGATGGGAAGCTGTCCTTATGTAGTAGTATACCTACCTCAGTAAAAAAGAAATAATAAAAGGATAAGAAGGTCTCCCTCATAATGAGTGTACAAACAACTTTAAGTATAAGAATCAGCACAAAGCCAATTCCTATGAGGCAGAGGTCAAATATATCCCAGATTTCCACATTCTACAAGCTGCTATACCACTCCGTCTCTGACACCGGCCACTCTCCCTCCATTCAGCACTCTTCCCTCTCCCACTGGGTTTGGCAATTCACTGAAATGTCTCACAGAACTCATGAACTGTACTTACAGTTAAGTGGTTTATTAAAGAACAGGGTACAACTTGGGATCAGGATCAACAGGCTACAACTAAGGATCTAGATCAGGAAGCATGTAGGCAAAGTCTCCCTTTTTCAGTACAGGAAAGCTCTCTCAGCTCCTCTCAACTATGCAGGCCTCCTCTAGGTCCTCTAAGAACAGGCTTCTCTTGGCCTCCTCAGGACAGGCTCCTCTTGCCCCCCTCAAGATGGGCTCCTGTGATGGTTAAGATTGTGTGTCAGTTTGGCTGGGCCATGATTC